GGTGGATGGAGCGAGACATGATGTCCCAGATGTGCTCAATTGGATTCAGGTCTGGGGAACGGGCGGTCCATAGCATCAATGCCTTCCTCTTGCAGGAACTGCTGACACACTCCAGCCACATGAGGTCTAGCATTGTCTTGCATTAGGAGGAACCCAGGGCCAACCGCACCAGCATATGGTCTCACAAGGGGTCTGAGGATCTAATCTCGGTACCTAATGGCAGTCAGGCTACCTCTGGCGAGCACATGGAGGGCTGTGCGGCCCCCCAAAGAAATGCCACCCCACACCATGACTGACCCACCACCAAACCGGTCATGCTGGAAGATGTTGCAGGCAGCAGAACGTTCTCCACGGCGTCTCCAGACTCTGTCACGTCTGTCACATGTGCTCAGTGTGAACCTGCTTTCATCTGTGAAGAGCACAGGGCGCCAGTGGCGAATTTGCCAATCTTGGTGTTCTCTGGCAAATGCCAAACGTCCTGCACAGTGTTGGGCTGTAAGCACAACCCCCACTTGTGGACGTCGGGCCCTTATACCACCCTCATGGAGTCTGTTTCTGACCGTTTGAGCAGACATGCACATTTGTGGCCTGCTGGAGGTCATTTTGCAGGGCTCTGGCAGTGCTCCTCCTGCTCCTCCTTGCACAAAGGCGGAGGTAGCAGTCCTGCTGCTGGGTTGTTGCCCTCCTACGGCCTCCTCCACGTCTCCTGATGTACTGGCCTGTCTCCTGATAGCGCCTCCATGCTCTGGACACTACGCTGACAGACACAGCAAACCTTCTTGCCACAGCTCACATTGATGTGCCATCCTGGATGAGCTGCACTACCTGAGCCACTTGTGTGGGTTGTAGACTCCTTCTCATGCTACCACTAGAGTGAAAGCACCGCCAGCATTCAAAAGTGACCAAAACATCAGCCAGGAAGCATAGGAACTGAGAAGTGGTCTGTGGTCACCACCTGCAAAACCAGTCCTTTATTGGGGGTGTCTTGCTAATTGCCTATAATTTCCACCTGTTGTCTATTCCATTTCCACAGCATGTGAAATATATTGTCAATCAGTGTTGCTTCCTAAGTGGACAGTTTGATTTCACAGAAGTGTGATTGACTTGGAGTTACATTGCCCCATTCAAAAAATACAGAACTAAGAACCGATATAGCCCCTGGTTCTCCTCAGACTTGACTGCCCTTGACCAGCACAAAAACATCCTGTGGCGTACTGCATTAGCATCAAATAGCCCCCGCGATATGCAACTTTTCAGGGAAGTTAGGAACCAATATACACAAGCAGTCAGGAAAGCAAAGGCTAACTTTTTCAAACAGAAATTTGCATCCTGTAGCACTAACTCCAAAAAGTTTTGGGACACTGTAAAGTCCATGGAGAATAAGAGCACTTCCTCCCAGTTGCCCACTGCACTGAGGCTAGAAAACACTATCACCACCGATAAATCTACAATAATCGAGAATTTCAACAAGCATTTTGCTACGGCTGGCCATGCTTTCCATCTGGCTACCACTACCCCGGCCACCAACTCTGCACCCTCCGCTGCAACTTGCCCATGCCCCCCCCCCCCCCGCTTCTCCTTCACACAAATTCAGACAGCTGATGTTTTGAAAGCGCTGCAAAATCTGGACCCCTACAAATCAGCTGGGCTAGACAATCTGGACCCTTTCTTTCTAAAACTAGCCGCCGAAATTGTCGCAACCCCTATTACTAGTCTGTTCAACCTCTCTTTCATAACGTCTGAGATCCCCAGAGATTGGAAAGCTGCCGCGGTCATCCCCCTCTTCAAAGGGGGTGACACTCTAGATCCAAACTGCTACAGACCTATATCCATCCTGCCCTGCCTTTCGAAAGTATTTGAAAGCCAAGTTAACAAACAGATCACCGACCATTTCGAATACCACCGTACCTTCTCCGCTATGCAATCCGGTTTCCGAGCTGGTCATGGGTGCACTTCAGCCACGCTCAAGGTCCTAAACGATATTATAACCGCAATTGATAATAGACAGTACTGTGCAGCCGTCTTCATCGACCTGGCCAAGGCTTTCGACTCTGTCAACCACCGCATTCTTATTGACAGACTAAATAGCCTTGGTTTCTCAAATGACTGCCTCGCCTGGTTCACCAACTACTTCTCAGATTGAGTTCAGTGTGTCAAATCGGAGGGCCTGTTGTCTGGACCTATGGCAGTCTCTATGGGGGTGCCACAGGGTTCAATTCTTGGGCCGACACTTTTCTCCGTGTATATCAATGATGTCGCTCTTGCTGCTGGTGACTCTCAGATCCACCTCTACGCAGACGACACCATTTTGTATACATCTGGCCCTTCATTGGACACTGTGTTAACAAACCTCCAAACGAGCTTCAATGCCATACAACACTCCTTCAGTAGCCTCCAACTGCTCTTAAACACTAGTAAAACTAAATGCATGCATTTCAATCGAACGCTGCTGGCACCCCGCCCCACCCGACTAGAATCACCACTCTCGACGGGTCTGACCTAGAGTATGTGGACAACTACAAATACCTAGGTGTCTGGTTAGACTGTAAACTCTCCTTCCAGACTCACATAAAGAATCTCCAATCCAAAGTTAAATCCAGAATCGGCTTCCTATTTCGCAACAAAGCCTCCTTCACTCATGCTGCCAAACATGCCCTCGTAAAACTGACTATCCTACCGATCCTTGACTTCGGCGATGTCATTTACAAAATAGCCTCCAACACTCTACTCAGCAAATTGGATGTAGTCTATCACAGTGCCATCCGTTTTGTCTCCAAAGCCCCATATACTACCCACCACTGTGACCTGTACGCTCTTGTTGGCTGGTCCTCAGTACATGTTCGTCGTCAAACCCACTGGCTCCAGGCCATCTATAAATCACTGCTAGGCAAATCCCCGCCTTATCTTAGCTCATTGGTCACCATAGCAGCACCCACCCGTAGTCTGCGCTCCAGCAGGTATATCTCACTGGTCATTCCCAAAGCCAACACCTCCTTTGGCCGCCATTCCTTCCAGTTCTCTGCTGCCAATGACTGGAACGAATTGCAAAAATCTCTGAAGCTGGAGACTCTTATCTCCCTCACTAACTTTAAGCATCAGTTGTCAGAGCACCTTACCGATCACTGCACCTGTACACAGCCCATCTGAAATTAGCCCACCCAACTACCTCATCCCTATATTGTTATTTATTTTGCTCTTTTGCACCCCAGTATCTCTATTTGCACATAATCTCTTGCACATCTAGCATTCCAGTGTTAATACTATTGTAATTATTTTGCACTATAGCCTATTTATTGCCTTACCTCCATAACTTGCTACATTTGCACACACTGTATATATATTTTCTGTTGTATTTTTGACTTTATGTTTTTTTTACCCTATATGTAACTCTGTGTTGTTTTTATCGCACTGCTTTGCTTTATCTTGGCCAGGTCGCAGTTGTAAATGAGAACCTGTTCTCAACTGGCTTACCTGGTTAAATAAAGGTGAAAAAATAAAATAAAATAAAAAATAACATTGTGTTGTTTAAGTGTTCCCTTTATTTTTTTGAGCAGTATATATATATATATATATATATATATATATATATATATATATATATATATATATATATATATATATATATGCAGGGTTTATTGTTTCTTTTCATTTCTTGTAGGCTACACATTTGCAGCTAAAACCTGAATTGCAGTATATGCCTACAGCTACAGAGAAAACATGTAATATACAGTATGTGTAATGTAGCCTATCAATCGCAGAATCGGCAGTGACATAACGTGTAACATTGAAACCATGCAGTTACATCTTGGTAGATGACTTTACAATCAAAGATCATTCAGTCAATTTATTCCTTGATCATTTTCATTCGGATTTTTTCAACCAGTGTAACCAACAACATGCACGGGCCAGCTCACGTTGAATTGCACGAACGGCATTCCCTTTACATTTTAGAAAGAAAGAAAAAAAACTGAAAAACTGTAACATAGCGTATGCTTCAAATTAATAAACCGACATAGCCTAAGGGACACACATGAACAGTCACACTTACCTTTCTCCAGGCTGCAATTTACATCTATGTTCCGAACTCAACTGATTTGTGATGGTGCGAAGGAATGGCAAATTCTGTCCGATGCCATGTTTAGTAATTTTTATATAGCTCTCTGAGCCTACAAGCCCGATTCTACCGTGCAAAGGGGAACCGTAGTTCTAAACTGCATTGCACTGTATGATAAATCCACCCCACAAAACACGCATATTGAAAGCCGTGTGTGATGCGGCGAAACTGATGCTCGTTTATGGAAGTGATGTGGACGTTACAGTAGGGCAAGGAACTCTATCATATGGGGATCGAATTACAGCTACATTCTTAAAGAGATAGGCCTATTCATGTGTCAATTTGCTAGTATCAACTTAACTCCCTGGTCAACAGTGACAATGTTTGGTGTTGCTGAAAAGACCATGGCTAGAACCCTGTCAGTCACATTGGTCCCGTGACTCAGATGGAGGTAAAAAGGGGGAGAGCATAGCCTACCAGAGGTGGTTTAGACTAGACCCAGGCTCAAGCAATACATAGGCTAACATTGCTTGAGATTTGGGGTTGCATTGGCTCCCCGAGCCAATCCACCTGGTCTATTAAAATAGACTTCTGATCCGGCATGTTCTTGTTCAATGTACTAGAAACGGTTATTACTGAGATTATTATATTGACAGGTTTTGCCATGACAGTATGGCCATCAAATACAGAATGATTGCAGGCACATGCCAGAGGATGTTGCATTTTGTGGTCTGGATCCTTGCTAGACATATTGATGATGCTGACTTGTTTTGTTGAATAAACTAAACTAAACCAAAAAACTTCCTTGATTAATGGTTGAAGCTTAATCAAAACCAATCTCAGCAGTTTGGTTTTCCCCAATGACATCCATTTTATTGTTGCTATAACCGTTTCCAGGAAGCTGTACATTAATAACGCTTTTGCGCTCCGCTCCATCTGGTCCAAACGAGTGTCCGTAGTAGCAACCATGGCACTGTTGTTAGGACTATTCACAGGACTTTGTTTTACGGTGATTTGTGTTATTGTGCGGCTTCTGATTGTGATTCGTTGTGGATCAAAATGTAAACCGGGAGAGAAAGGTCCCGTCTGCGTGCTTGTCGTTGCTGGATCAGGTAACGACTTTGTAAAAGTAGTGGCTAGCTAGCCGGCTAAGCTAGCAGCAGGTAGTGAAGCGTCCGAGCCAATCCTTTGCTTTTTGGGAATTTATTCATCTTGATCAATTACTAGGCTTTACTCTTTACTTTACACTCAAGTGGCATTTCTTGCTGCCTTCATGCTAGTTATTAAACTACAGAGTAGTAATAAAGAATCGCTTTGTTTAGGTAGCTAGGTAACCTAGCTATTAGGGCTGACGTCACCAATAACAAACATGTGGCCGGGGAAGATGACCAAAGGAGACCAGCCTAAAGCTAAATGTATTTTTTTTAGGCAGTTACATTATAATGCACAGTCAGTGTTTTATGTCAAAACATCACATTTTAACTTTCTTTATAAACACTATTGGCTTATCTGTGAGTAATTGTAAATTGCACCTTAATACGGATGATACTGTTTTGTTCTCTAGTGCCCTCTCTGTGAAAGACGCCATTTGTGAACTGCAGCTTGCTTTACATTCCATAGAAAACTCCCCTGTTGACATTAAAACAAAGTTTATGTTATCCAAATCTCATAATATTGACCCCACTGTCTTGCATAATGTAGCCTATAGGCTAGCTTGAGTGCAGCACCAATTGATTGATACGTTTTATATTTTAAAACGCATATACAGTACCAGTCAGAAGTTTGGACACACCTACTCATTCCAGGGTTTTTATTTTTTTATTTTTTACAATTTTCTACATTGTAGAATAATAGTGAAGACATCAAAGCTATGAAATAACACATGGAATCATGAAGTAACCAAAAAAGTGTTGAAACAAATCAAAATATATTTGAGATTCTTCAAATAGCCACCCTTTGCCTTGACAGCTTTGCACACTCTTGGCATTCTCTCAACCAGCTTCATGGGCTAGTCACCTGGAATGCATTTCAATTAACAGGTGTGCCTAATTAAAAGTTAATTTGTGGAATTTATTTCCTTCTTAATGCGTTTGAGCCAATCAGTTGTGTTGTGACAAGGTAGGGGTGGTATACAGAAGATAGCCCTATTTGGTAAAATACAAGTCCATATTATGGCAAGAACTGCTCAAATAAGCAAAGAGAAATGACAGTCCATCATTACTTTAAGACATGAAGGTCAGTCAATCCGGAACATTTCAAGAACTTTGAAAGTTTCTTCAAGTGTAGTCGCAAAAATCATCAAGTGCTATGATGAAACTGCCTCTCATGAGGACCGCCACAGGAAAGGAAGACCCAAAGTTACCTCTGCTGCAGAGGATAGGTTCTTTAGAGTTAACTGCACCTCAGATTGCAGCCCAAATAAATGCTTCACAGAGTTCAAGTAACAGACACATCTCAACATCAACTGTTCAGAGAAGACTGCGTGAATCAGGCCTTCATGGTCGAATTGCTACAAAGAAACCACTACTAAAGGTTTCTTTAGACACCAGACGTGCTTGGGCCAAGAAACACGAGCAATGGACATTAGACCGGTTCCAACTGCCGTGTCATTGTGAGACTCAGAGTAGGTGAACGGATGATCTCTGCATGTGTGGTTCCCACTGTGAAGCGTGGAGGAGGAGGTTTTATGGTGTGGGGGTGCTTTGCTGGTGACACTGTCTGTGATTTATTTAGAATTCATGGCACACTTAACCAGCATGGCTACCACAGCATTCTGCAGCGATACGCCATCCCATCTGGTTTGTGCTTAGTTGGGACTATCATTTGTTTTTCAACAGGACAATGACCCAAAACACACCTACAGGCTGTGTAAGGGCTATTTGATTAAGAACGAGAGTGATGGAGTGCTGCATCAGATGACCTGGCCTCCACAATCCCCCAACCTCAACCCAATTGAGATGGTTTGGGATGAGTTGGACCACAGAGTGAAGGAAAAGCAGCCAACAAGTGCTCAGCATATGAGGGAACTCCTTCAAGACTGTTGGAAAAGCATTCCTCATGAAGCTGGTTGAGAGAATGCCAAGAGTTTGCAAATCTGTCATCAAGGCAAAGGGTGGCTCCTTTAAAGAAATATAGTTTGAATTGTTTATCACTTTTTTGGTTACTACATGATTCCATATGTGTTTTTTCATCGTTTTGATGTCTTCACTATTATCCTACAATGTAGAAAATTATTTAAAAAATAAAGAAAAACCCTTGAATGAGTAGGCGTGTCCGAACGTTTGACTGGCACTGTAGATAAACAAACTAAAACACAGAGAATTAACCTTGGTTTCTTATTTAGAATAGTCCTGCTTGACCTTTGACTACAGGAAGAAGATAGTACAGGTGACACTCATGCCAGTTCTAAAATATGGTGAAATGATCTAGCTGTCTCCTCTGATTTGTGCCAAACTGCTTTTAGTTATAGGGCTGCTCAGTCCTTCAGGATCTATTACAGCTTGACATCCTGGTTTAATTAAGACTTTTAATACAGGACCTGTTCATTGTGAAATGTACTTGGAAAATCTAAGATTTTTGCTTTGTGTATATACTTTGTTTAAGCTGTTTTGGATTATTGTAACACAGAGCACCATTGAAAAGGAGACCCGGGGGATAATACTAGTGCTTGCTTCCATTGACCATGTAGCCTGCGTTACATCTATGCATTCACTGTGGTTTTTCTTCAGGGGGACATACCACTGAGATCCTGCGCCTGATGGAGAGTCTCTCTCAGTCCTACAGCCCAAGACACTATATCATCGCAGACACGGACAAGATGAGTGAAGACAAGATACGCACCTTTGAAAACTCAAAGAAAGACACTGGTTCAAAAGGCCAGGTAGGCATACAGCCTCTTGCAAATTAACTAGCGTAGTTCTTGAGTAGCCTATTGCAGCCACCGTCATCAGCTTTCCTTTCAAAATATGGAAAAACATGGACACGTGAAAGGTCTAAAGATGCATTGTTACCATTATTTGAAATATGAATTCCTCTCTGTTGCAATGATATTTTATGAGTGCAGTTCTATTCAGAACGTCTATGTTTGTTAATTCTCGTTGAGATGAGATTCTGATCTGTAGTGTAAATCGAGTTCTCAGTGCAAGTCTTATCCTCACCACCAGATGGAGCCAACTCCTTTTTTTATTTTATTTGGTGTGACAAAACTTCCCGTCACTTACTTGCTTACTTGCCGTTGAGCTAGATGTGTCTCTGTGTAGTCAGCATTGCTTATGATACCTGTCCTTGCTGTAACGTGTATCTTTTAGCCTACTTTGTCCTATCAATTGGCCCTGTGAGATTTTAAGCTACCCTTCTCATTTCATCACTTCCCTCCCCGTCAAGTTTACCATCCAGAGGATCCCTCGTAGCCGTGAGGTGCGTCAGTCCTGGAGTTCCTCTGTGATCACCACTCTGAACGCCCTGCTCTACGCCATTCCTCTGGTGTTCAGGCTCAGGCCAGACATGGTAGGTTGAATCATAATGTAATATCTCGTATAGCCTAATTAGGCCTGACATGGTACTTTAGATCTACAGGACGCTGCTGTACCCTATCCCATTGAGTCTCTCTCAGACCAGACATGGGAGGTTTATTCGTAATGGAATATAATCCGTCCAGACATGGTTGGTTTAGGATACAGCCCCCCAGTGTGCAACCATAGCCTGGTCCCAGATCTGTTTGTGCTGTCTTGCCAACTCCTATGGTGGATCGCCATGCCAAACAATCACCATAGGAGTTGGCTAAACAATAGATCTGGGACCAGGCTATGGTACCATTCTCCCGACTTCATTTTCAGATACCTTTGCTACCACATCGTTATCAACGTTTGTCTTCCAGGCGTTAATCTACAATGTTAAACATTTCACGGCCTTCAGTCTTCTCACTAGTCAAAGTCCCTCACAGTTTGTGTGTAAAATGACTTCCCGTTCTGTCATATTCATTACATGTTCATGATTCATGGGCCTTTCAGTGGTCTGTCTGTGTCTGTGTTTGGAGGAAACCAGTTTCACTCAACTCAGAAACGTAGATTTGGTTCTTTATAACTCTCTTATTGTAGGCCTAGATATCAATTCATGAGTTCAGTTCTTTAATATTTCTTGTCATTTTGCTAATGTGAATAAGGAATAATGAAGCATAATGCTATTAAAATAATTGATAGGCTGCATATGTCTTCAGTTTAAAATTGGAGGGAGAGGGAGGGAGAGATCTTGAAATTTTTGTTCATTTATATCGGTAAGGTTTTTTTTCGGCTGTTCAGGCACACAAACATTTTTCTCGAGGCAAGCCGAAGTCGGTAGCTGAAGTCTACGCCAATTCGTCGGTGATTGGTCAACAGTAGGGATTATTCAATAAAGTCTTTGTCATTCAACGAGAGACGACTCATTTTCATGCACACGTTTTCATTGAGAAATACTGCACCGAACATCTTAGGTAGATGTAAAATTACACGACTAAGATCTCTTTAGACAAAAAACGTCAACTCAATAAATTTATTCATTTTATCTTAAATTAATTCAGACTATTTTGAGGAAGTGTATACTGGCTACGGCTTCTCAAAATGGACAAACAGTACTATTGGCGCTTTTTTTCTTGTTTTTCAAGCGAAGGTGTTTTTAAGGGAGTGTGGAGCACACTCGTTCGGTTCGGGTAGCCAAGCTCGGTTCGGCACCAGCTGATACTTTAACTCTGCAGCTCCGCTCTGGAAGAGGGAGAGGGGAGACGGATGGTCAGGTCCCCCCCCTTCTGTCTCTTGGGACAACAGGGATGCAGAGAGTGAGAGGGAAGAGAGGTAAGAGAGAGAGAGAGAGAGAGAGAAGAGAGAGAGAGAGAGAGAGAGAGAGAGAGAGAGAGAGAGAGGAGCTTCTGTTTGCTAGCATAGAACTTGGTGACGTAATGCATTCCAGAATATATTTAGGCTGTATACTGACGTAGGTAGTTTTATCTCAAGACTGCTTTCAGAGAAGGAAATATATTTTCTTATTTTGGAAGCAGTTCCAATAGTGGCAACGCTAACAAAATGGTGACTTCATCTGGATACTTTTGAACTTTGCTGGTAGCCCACAATAAGGTATTTCTTTTCAGGGTCTTGCTTATAATAAAACCCTTTACATTCATGAATAGTAACAGCATTGTGGGGAGAGACTATTGATTTATTTTAATTGCGTGTGTGTCACTCATTCTGATATCACTGCTGTTTAAACCTCCAGGCATCTGTAGGTTGACTGTGGGACCCAATCGCAGTCGGTCGGTATTTCGCTGTTCCATCTGTTCAAACAGAGCCTCGTTGACATCTCCACGGTAACCCAAACCCTGTCTCCACTCCAGCTGTCAAAAATAATAATAATGGTAGTCATGGTAGAAAAGTGACATTCAGACGTTTACGTCAAGCAGCTGTTTAAACCGCCAATCTATCAGTGAGACAGTCTAATGCATGTAGTCTGGCTGTCTGGGGGGGGGGGGGGGGGGGGGGGTTCCTGTTCCACTACAGCCCCGTCGATGAGAATGGGGACGTGCTCAGTCCTCTTTTTTTTTTTCCTGTAGTCCACAATCATCTCCTTTGTCTTGTCTTGGTCACGTTGAGGGAGAGGTTGTTGTCCTGGCACCACACGGCCAGGTCTCTGACCTCCTCCCTATAGGCTGTCTCATCGTTGTCGGTGATCAGGCCTACCACTGTTGTGTCGTTGGCAAACTTAATGATGGTGTTGGAGTCGTGTCTGGCCACGCAGTCGTGGGTGAACAGGGAATACAGGAGGGGACTGAGCACGCACCCCTGAGGGGCCCCCGTGTTGAGGATCAGTGTGGCAGATGTGTTGTTACCTACCCTTACCACCTGGGGGCGGCCCGTCAGGAAGTCCGGGATCCAGTTGCAGAGGGAGGTGTTTAGTCCCAGGGTCCTTAGCTTAGTGATGAGCTTGGAGGGCACTATGGTGTTGAATGCTGAGCTGTAGTCAACGAATAGCATTCTCACGTAGGTGTTCCTCTTGTCCAGGTGGGAAATGGCAGTGTGGAGTGCAATAGAGATTGCATCATCTGTGGATCTGTTGGGGCGGTATGCAAATTGGAGTGGGTCTAGGGTTTCTGGGATAATGGTGTTGATGTGAGTCATGACCAGCCTTTCAAAGCACTTCATGGCTACAGACGTCAGTGCTACGGGTCGGTAGTCATTTAGGCAGGTTATCTTGGTGTCCTTGGGCACGGGACTATGGTGGTCTGCTTGAAACATGTTGGTATTACAGACTCAGTCAGTGACATGTTGAAAATGTCAGTGAAGACACTTGCCAGTTGGTCAGCACATGCTCGGAGTACACGTCCTGGTAATCCATCTGGCCCTGCGGCCTTGTGAATATTGACCTGCTTAAAAGTCTTAACCACATCGGCTACGGAGAGCGTGATCACATAGTCATCCAGAACAGCTGGTGCTCTCATGCATGCATTCCTACATGCTGTATATCTTGGTATCTGGCTTTGTGACAAACTCTCATTTAAAAAACATGTCACTGAGCTGGTGAAGAAGTTGAAGTTCAAGGTTGGTTTCTGTGGTCCTCTGTAGCTCAATTGGTAGAGCATGGCGCTTGTAACGCCAGGGTAGTGGGTTCGATCCCCGGGACCACCCATACGTAAAAATGTATGCATACATGACTAAGTCGCTTTGGATAAAAGCGTCTGCTAAATGGCATATTATTATTATTATTATATTTTACAGAAACAAAGTATGTCTGACTTTTGTTAATAGTAAGGAAATTGTCCAGGCCACTTTTATGTCTATTTTAGATTCTGGGGATATTATCAATATGCATGCAGCAGCATCTACAGTTAAACCACTAGATGCTGTTTTCCATTGTGCCCTTAGGTTTATTACTGGAGATGGTTCTAGAACTCACCATTGGGCCCTTAGGTTTATTACTGGAGATGGTTCTAGAACTCACCATTGGGCCCTTAGGTTTATTACTGGTGATGGTTCTAGAACTCACCACTGGGCCCTTGGGTTTATTACTGGTGATGGTTCTAGAACTCACCATTGTGCCCTTAGGTTTATTACTGGTGATGGTTCTAGAACTCACCATTGGGCCCTTGGGTTTATTACTGGTGATGGTTCTAGAACTCACCATTGGGCCCTTGGGTTTATTACTGGTGATGGTTCTAGAACTCACCATTGGGCCCTTGGGTTTATTACTGGTGATGGTTCTAGAACTCACCATTGGGCCCTTGGGTTTATTACTCGTGATGGTTCTAGAACTCACCATTGGGCCCTTGGGTTTATTACTCATGATGGTTCTAGAATTCACCATTGGGCCCTTAGGTTTATTACTGGTGATGGTTCTAGAATTCACCACTGTGTTTTGCATCAAAAAGTGGGTTGGGCCTCTTTGTATATAAGGAGAGAGTAGCATTCTCTTGTGTTTATCTCCAAAGCACTCATGCAGTAACTTCCTATGTATCTATCATTAATTCAATTTAGACTTACAATTGACCAAACCCGGTCTCAGGCTTGGATAACACTGGAGGCCCCTTCGGTCTCCACAGAGTTGGCTAAAGCTGCTTTTAGTTTTTCTGTGCCGTTTATGTGGAACAACTTACAGAGCTCTCTGAAAGGAGATGTTCTGGACCCCCTGGGTCAGTTCAGAGTAATGATCAGAGACCTCTGTGTTGATAAATGTCTGTTTTTCTTATGTTTTGTAATTGTGTTCGATGTATTTATGCAGGGCTCATCTGTAAAAGAGACCCTAACCTCAGTATGACTTCCCTCTAAAAAAAAATAAAAAAAATGTTGGTGAGAAGTTGAGGGAGGGGCCTGAGGAAATTCAAAGGCAGAGCTATGGAAGCAAGGACTGACCATCCATGATATCAAAAGTATAGTTGTAACCATGTTGAGGCTATATCGTGTCTGTTTACATTTACTGTACATTACATTACAAACAGAGTAAAAAAACTAACGTACGTTTTGGGTTCTGATGGGGTACGACAGTTGAACTAAGCTCATGAGGCATTTGTAAGTCATATTCTTCAAAAATCAATGGGTGTGTGTATACATCATTATTTTACAAGTCCAAAAATGGATGTAGCAACTAAGGATCCCAGCTTTAAAGAGGTTCTGGTCTTACTTTCACAGATGTCTCTCTCCACATTCAACCATGAACCATACTGTATCAGTCGTACTGTATTATTCATCATGGACCTCGTCACTGCTGCTTGACACTGGCAGTGACCCAAATGCCACCCTATTCCCTATCTAGTGCACTACTTTTGCCCAGGGACCATATAGGGAATAGGGTACCATTTGGGACACAGACGGTGACCTCGCTGCCGGGAACTTGAGCTGCAAGGATGTGAAATATGTTGACGCCAGGAAGGGTTATATATATCACACCTGTATTACCCTTAATAAGAGATATTGGACTTCTACTGCTGCTACTGTATGCAGAGAAGATTTAAGAATTGTATAACTCATTTCCTGCAATTCTACACATTTTGCCAAAGGGTGGAGGCAAATGTAACTGATTATCAATGGGCCCCACCCAGGTCGGTAATTCCACCATGCTTACTACAAGTTTAGATAGCTGGCCGCTAGATTAATTTACCAATCTGAATAAAAAGTTTATGCAGACCAGTGGAGGCTGCTGAAGGGAGGACGGCTCACAATAATGGCTGAAACGGAGCCAATGGCATCAAACACAATGTTTGACGTATTTGATACTGTTCCACTAATTCCGCTCCAGCCTTTACCACGAGCCGGTCCTCCCTAATTAAGGTCCCACCAACCTCCTGTGACGCAGACATGGGCTAATTGAGTGACTGCTGATGCACAACCACATTATCTGTGTATTCTAGTATTCTAATTCTCAGCAGTAAGTTGAGAGCCTGACTGAGTTCCCCCCTGCAGCCCTGTGTCTCCACAGCCGTCTGGCTGTATATTCCATACCCTGCAGCCCTGTGTCTCCACAGCCGTCTGGCTGTATATTCCAGACCCTGCAGCCCTGTGTCTCCACAGCCGCCTGGCTGTATATTCCATACCCTGCAGCCCTGTGTCTCCACAGCCGTCTGGCTGTATATTCCATACCCTGCAGCCCTGTGTCTCCACAGCCGTCTGGCTGTATATTCCAGACCCTGCAGCCCTGTGTCTCCACAGCCGCCTGGCTGTATATTCCATACCCTGCAGCCCTGTGTCTCCACAGCCGTCTGGCTGTATATTCCAGACCCTGCAGCCCTGTGTCTCCACAGCCGTCTGGCTGTATATTCCAGACCCTGCAGCCCTGTGTCTCCACAGCCGTCTGGCTGTATATTCCAGACCCTGCAGCCCTGTGTCTCCACAGCCGCCTGGCTGTATATTCCATACCCTGCAGCCCTGTGTCTCCACAGCCGTCTGGCTGTATATTCCAGACCCTGCAGCCCTGTGTCTCCACAGCCGTCTGGCTGTATATTCCAGACCCTGCAGCCCCGTGTCTCCACAGCCGTCTGGCTGTATATTCCAGACCCTGCAGCCCTGTGTCTCCACAGCCGTCCGTCTGTCTTCCTGTAATTCCCCTACTCTCCAAAACCTACAGCCTCACTCTTCCTCTATCCCTACCCCCTCTTTCCCTCTCTCCTCCTTCCCAGACCATACTCCTCCTCTCTCCTCTATCCCTACCCCCCCTCTTCCCCTCCCCCTCTCCCTCCTTCCCAGACCATACTCTCCTCTCTCCTCTATCCCTACCCCCTCTCTTTCCCTCCTCCTCCCTTCCCAGACCATACTCCTCTCTCTCTACCCTACCCCCTCTTCCCTCTCTCCTCCTTCCCAGACCATACTCCTCTCTCCTCTATCCCTACCCCCTCTTTCCCTCTCTCCTCCTTCCCAGACCATACTCCTTCTCTCTCCTCTATCCCTACCCCCTCTTTCCCTCTCTCCTCCTTCCCAGACCATACTCCTCTCTCCTCTATCCCTACCCCCTCTTTCCCTCTCTCCTCCTTCCCAGACCATACTCCTTCTCTCTCCTCTATCCCTACCCCCTCTTTCCCTCTCTCCTCCTTCCCAGACCATACTCCTCTCTCCTCTATCCCTACCCCCTCTTTCCCTCTCTCCTCCTTCCCAGACCATACTCCTCCTCTCTCCTCTATCCCACCAGCCATGGAGTCTTTATGATTCTATATCCCCTCCTCTCTTGCATCTTTGTCATCTTCTTCATTTTTAGTGATTTTGAGGGCTTGTGAGTGGCTCGGAGTGTCACGCTGTATAAACATGTGCTTATCTCGCTCTCTGTCTCTCTCCCCCTCGCTCTCTCCTCTCTCTTCTCTCTCTCTCTCTCTCATTTCAGGTGCTGTGTAACGGCCCTGGGACCTGCGTCCCCCTGTGCACGGCAGGACTTCTCCTGGGCCTCCTGGGATTGAAGAAGGTCCTGATTGTCTACGTTGAGAGCATCTGCAGAGTGGAAAGCCTGTCGCTGTCCGGGAAGATCCTCTATCACTTCTCAGACTACTTCTTTGTGCAGTGGTCCACCCTGAAAGACAAATACCCCAAATCAATTTACCTAGGAAGGATAGTCTGACTCTGAATAGACTATCTGGAAAAAAGACTTCCTTTGTTCTTACAAATGGGAACACTTTGCTCAGATAAATCATGTTTAATAGGTTGCTTGCTTGATGGACATTTTTCTACAAACTTCAATGCAGATGTTTTGGAACATCGAGCCTTACATATAATAACAATGTAAAGATGTTTTGGACCAGTTGAATGTGTTATGAAATGGTACTTTAATTCATGGTGCAGTGTAAAGAAATACTGAATGGAATTCATACCAAATATGTTGCTACGGTAGTTCTGGCTTGAGTGAACACCTTTGGGAATGAATTCGAACGCCGACTTCGAGCCAGGCCTAATCACCCAACATCAGTGCCCGACCTCACTAATGCTCTTGTGGCTGAATGGAAGCAAGTCCCCGCAGCAATGTTCCATCATCTAGTGGAAAGCCTTCCCAGAAGAGTGGAGGCTGTTATAGCAGCAAAGGGGGGACCAACTCCATATTAATGCCCATACTTTTGGTCATTTAGTGTATGTAACTGACTCAACACACACAGACCATATCTTTTTACATCTGAGCCCTTCTGGCCTCTTACTAAGTCGAGAGGTATAGCTGAACATTTAGGAAACTTGACCATAACTCAATAAAGGACTTCATGAGAATAGATCATCCAAATATATTAAATGAGACTTTACAAAGATGTGAAGCAGAAGATATGACTCTGCTCCTATAAGACTCTGCTCCTATAAGACTCTGCTCCTATATGACTCTGCTCCTATATGACTCTGCTCCTATATGACTCTGCTACTATATGACTCTGCTACTATATGACTCTGCTCCTATATGACTCTGCTCCTATATGACTCTGCTCCTATATGACTCTGCTCCTATATGACTCTGCTCCTATATGACTCTGCTCCTGTATGACTCTGCTACCATATGACTCTGCTCCAATATGACTCTGCTCTGCTACCATATGACTCTGCTCCAATATGACTCTGCTCTGCTCCTATATGACTCTGCGCCTGTATGACTCTGCTCTGCTACTATATGACTCTGCTCCTGTATGAATCTGCTCTGCTACTATATGACTCTGCTACTATATGACTCTGCTCCTATATGACTCTGCTCCTATATGACTCTGCTCCTATATGACTCTGCTCCTATATGACTCTGCTCCTATATGACTCTGCTCCTATATGACTCTGCTCCTGTATGACTCTGCTACCATATGACTCTGCTCCAATATGACTCTGCTCTGCTACCATATGACTCTGCTCCAATATGACTCTGCTCTGCTCCTATATGACTCTGCGCCTGTATGACTCTGCTCTGCTACTATATGACTCTGCTCCTGTATGAATCTGCTCTGCTACTATATGACTCTGCTCTGCTCCTATATGACTCTGCTTCTATATGAATCTGCTCTGCTACTATATGACTCTGCTCTGCTCCTATATGACTCTGCTCCTGTATGACTCAGCCCAGCTCCTATATGACTCTGCTCCTGTATGACTCAGCCCAGCTCCTATATGACTCTGCTCCTGTATGACTCAGCCCAGCTCCTATATGACTCTGCTCCAATATGACTCTGCTCTGCTACTTTATGACTCAGCCCAGCTCCTATATGACTCTGCTCCTGTATGACTCTGCTCTGCTACTATATGACTCTGCTCTGCTCCTGTATGACTCTGCTCTGCTCCTGTATGACTCTGCTCTGCTACTATATGACTCTGCTCTGCTCCTGTATGACTCTGCTCTGCTACTATATGACTCTGCTCTGCTCCTATATGACTCTGCTCCTATATGACTCAGCTCCTATATGACTCTGCTCCTATATGACTCTGCTCCTATATGACTCAGCTCCTATATGACTCAGCTCCTATATGACTCTGCTCCTATATGACTCAGCTCCTATATGACTCAGCTCCTATATGACTCTGCCCAGCTCCTCTACCAGGTGAACAGGTGGAGTGTTGAAGATTATGAAACCACTGTACTTCTGTTCTAAACTATTGCCTGTAAACCTGACACTGACAAACTGCATACTTTCAAACAAGGTCCCTTTATACACACCGCAAAGGTTGAATGACATTGGAAGATCGTTATCTCAACAAAGAAAACAGCATTGTGTGTGTGTGTGTCATGCCCTTGAGCCTCCTCTATTCCACCTTGAATGGAGGCAAAGGACCAATACTGCTTATTATGGACTCATTATGGAGGCTATACCCCTGTATGTATATATATATATCCTCCCTATCCCTGTATGTATATATATATATCCTCCCTATCCCTGTATACAGTTGAAGTCGGAAGTTTACATACACTTAGGTTGGAGTCATTAAAACTTGTTTTTCAACCACACCACAAATGTCTTGTTAACAAACTATAGTTTTGGCAAGTCGGTTAGGACATCTACTTTGTGCATGACACAAGTCATTTTTCCAACAAGTGTTTACAGACAGATTATTTCACTTATAATTCACTGTATCACAATTCCAGTGGATCAGAAGTTTAATTAATAATTTGAGTCAATTGGAGGTGTACCTGTGGATGTATTTCAAGGCCTACCTTCAAACTCAGTGCCTCTTTGCTTGACCTCATGGGAAAATCTAAAGAAATCAGCCAAGACCTCGGAAAAAGAATTGTGGACCTTCACAAGTCTGGTTCATCCTTGGGAGCAATTTCCAAACGCCTGAAGGTACCACATTCATTACATTTTAGTCATTTAGTAGACTCTCTTATCCAGAGCGACTTACAGTTAGTGAGTGCAGACATTTTTCATACTGGTCCCCTGTGGGAATCGAACCCACAACCTTGGCGTTGCAAGTGCCATGCTCTACCAACTGAGCTACACGGGACCTAGTACGCAAGTATAAACACCATGGGACCACGCAGCTGTCATACCGCACAGGAAGGAGATGCGTTCTGTCTCCTAGAGATGAATGTACTTTGGTGCAAATCAATCCCAGAACAACAGCAAAGGACCTTGTGAAGATGCTGGAGGAAACAGGTACAAAAGTATCTATATCCACAGTAAAACGAGTCCTATATCGACATAACCTGAAAGGCCGCTCAGCAAGGAAGAAGCCACTGCTCCAAAACCACCATAAAAAAGCCAGACTACAGTTTGCAACTGCACATGGGGACGAAGTTCGTACTTTTTGGCCATAATGACCATTGTTATGTTTGGAGGAAAAAGGGGGTTGCTTGCAAACCGAAGAACACATTTACATTACATTTACGTCATTTAGCAGACGCTCTTATCCAGAGCGACTTACAAATACCATCCCAACCGTGAAGCACGGGGGTGGCAGCATCATGCTGTGGGGGTGCTTTGCTGCAGGAGGGACTAGTGCACTTCACAAAATAGATGGCATCATGACGATGGAAAATTATGTGGATATATTGAAGCAACATCTCAAGACATCAGTCAGGAAGTTAAAGCTTGGTCGCAAATGGGTCTTCCAAATGGACAATGACCCCAAGCATACTTCCAAAGTTGTGGGAAAATGGCTTAAGGACAACAAAGTCAAGGTTTTGGAGTGGCCATCACAATGCCCTGCACTCAATCCTATAGAAAATGTGTGGGCAGAACTGAAAAAGCGTATGCGAGCAAGGAGGTATACAAACCTGACTCAGTTACACCAGCTCTGTCAGGAGGATTGGGCCAAAATTACCCCAACGTATTGTGGGAAGCTTGTGGAAGGCTAACCGAAACGTTTGACCCAAGTTAAACAATTTAAAGGCAATGCTACCAAATACTAATTGAGTGTATGTAAAACTTCTGACCCACTGGGAATGTGATGAAAGAAATAAAAGCTGAAAAAAATAATTATCTCTACTATTGTTCTGACATTTCACATTCTTAAAATAAAGTGGTGATACTAACTGACCTAAGACAGGGAATTTTTATTAGGATTAAATGTCAGGAATTGTGAAAAACTGAGTTTAAATGTATTTGGCTAAGGTGTATGTAAACGTCCGACTTCAACTGTATGTATATATATATATCCTCCCTACCCCTGTGTATGTGTGTGTATGTACGAACGTTGCAGGGACCCACCCACCCGAATAGAATCACTACTCTCGACGGGTCTGACCTAGAGTATGTGGACAACTACAAATACCTAGGTGTCTGGTTAGACCGTAAACTCTCCTTCCAGACTCACATTAAGAATCTCCAATCCAAAGTTAAATCCAGAATCGGCTTCCTATTTCGCAACAAAGCCTCCTTCACTCATGCTGCCAAACATGCCCTCGTAAAACTGACTATCCTACCGATCCTTGACTTCGGCGATGTTATTTACAAAATAGCCTCCAACACTCTATTCAGCAAATTGGATGTAGTCTATCACAGTGCCATCCGTTTTGTCACCAAAGCCCCATATACTACCCACCACTGTGACCTGTACGCTCTTGTTGGCTGGTCCTCACTACATATTCGTCGCCAAACCCACTGGCTCCAGGTCATCTATAAATTACTTCTAGGCAAATCCCTGCCTTATCTTAGCTCATTGGTCACCATAGCAACACCCACCCGTAGTATGCGCTCCAGCAGGTATATCTCACTGGTCAAAGCCAACACCTCCTTTGGCCGCCATTCCTTCCAGTTCTCTGCTGCAAATGACTGGAACGAATTGCAAAAGTCTCTGAAGCTGGAGACTCTTATCTCCATCACTAACTTTAAGCATCAGTTGTCAGAGCACCTTACCGATCACTGCACCTGTACACAGCCCATCTGAAATTAGCCCACCCAACTACCTCATCCCCATATTGTTATTTACATTGTTATTTATTTTGCTCATTTGCACCCCAGTATCTCTATTTGCACATAATCTCTTGCACATCTATAATTCCAGTGTTAATACTAATTGTAATTATTTTGCACTATAGCCTATTTATTGCCTTACCTCCATAACTTGCTACATTTGCACACACTGTATATATATTTTCTGTGGTATTTTTGACTTTATGTTTTGTTTTACCCCATATGTAACACTGTGTTGTTGTTTTTATCGCACTGCTTTGCTTTATCTTGGCCAGGTCGCAGTTGTAAATGAGAACTTGTTCTCAACTGGCTTACCTGGTTAAATAAAGGTGAAATAAAAAAAATATAAAAAAATGTATGTGTATATATATATATATATATATATACTGCTCAAAAAAATAAAGGGAACACTTAAACAACACAATGTAACTCCAAGTCAATCACACTTCTGTGAAATCAAACTGTCCACTTAGGAAGCAACACTGATTGACAATAAACTGCACATGCTGTTGTGCAAATGGAATAGACAACAGGTGGAAATTATAGGCAATTAGCAAGACACCCCCAATAAAGGACTGGTTTTGCAGGTGGTGACCA